CAAAAACTAAGTCATCGGATTAGTGAGATAAAAGTTCTTTCTTTTCCCTTCCTTTGATCTCTACACCATCTCAAATTATCATTATCAATTTTAGTATACGAATATAAAAGTCAAAAACAGAAGATCCTATAACATAAATCAAAGTATTCATGATAAAGTAAAAGATTAAAGAGGAATATGAGATCGATAGATCGTTAATTTAGATGAATGATTAAAGAAAAAGTACACTCACAATTTTTAATCAAAAAAGCTATCTCAATTCTCACAATAGTAACAAGTTACTTAATCACTTATCCTAATTAAAATTGAAATTTAGGTCCTTAAATTCGTAAAAAATTATGAAAACCTATACTAAGAATTTATAAATAAATAGAGACCTTCTATGTAGGACCACACATAGTTTCATGCCAAGCAATCATGATTCTTGCAGAGCTCATAAAGGATGATTGGAAAAGGACAAAGTAAAATTTCAAAAAGGCTAAATGCTTTATGCTAAAATGCATTATTATTAGTTGACACAATTCAAATAATTGTTCTGAGCTAACACATATTATTTATGTTGACTTGAATGTATAGCCAATGTGCTTTAGCCCCGCAACCGCGTCATGGGTGGTCGGTGGCAAAACCTGTTGACCATTCATCTCCTTCCTTGGACTGTAAATAAAACTAATATGACTTTTTAATCTAGATTTTACAAACACGTAAAGATATGTAGGACATGAAATATTTATGCCATGGGAGTATTTGGACCTTGACGACGAATTCAGAACGACTAAATATAAGGGTCATCGTGGTAGATGTATTACCTCCTTGTCAATTAGGATAGCTTCAAGTGATCAAATTGTCCATTATTGTTGGAATAAGATTCGACCAAACCTTTTCCAACAACAGTCACTTTAATGGACCATTTATCTTCATGCGCCGATAAATCTCTTATTGGCGTGATCCCGGGAAGGGGAATCACGTGGAAACTCGCGGCATTAGTCGAAAATGTCAGGAAAGCCCAAATTCAGGTTGTAAACGGTAAAATATTGACTCGAGCTTCGCGAATCAAGAACCTAAGGTATACTAAACCTTAGACACGTGATATACGAAAACAAGAACCTCGATTTGTAAACGCCACAATGAGTGCCTAATCCTTTGAAAAGTTCTAAGATTTTGAACGCCACAAATATTGAAAATATTTGATAAGTTCAAAAGTTCAATCAAGAATCAATGGAGAGGGAAATCTTAATTATGATATTAATCACCAAAATAATATATATTTACAATGAGTAATATGGGAGCTATTTATAAGAAACTATAAAAACCCTAGTCTACACGAAATTGATGCTAAAAGATTACATAAAATATCCATCCAAATTAAAACTCTAATGAAATAAGGAAACTCGCGAAAAAGGAAACTCGTATCTTTTATGTATTGCCTGTCCCTGATCATATCACTTATGTAGCTTTTGATTCTATGATGTGGGAGAGCTACATATTTGATGCTTGAAATGTAACAACAACCAATATGTGAAAACAATTTAAATAGTTGAGAGATAAATTCATTTTAAATCCAAAACTCATTAGAAAAATCAAATAAATTCATGAATATAAAATTTAATTAATTTGAATTAATGAATGTAGAAAGAGAATAATTTCTATGCATTTAGCAGAGGGTGTGTACGTACTTTGGTTACATTTGTGCATGCATGCATTCATTTAGGTAAATGTATCCAATATATAATTATCACTTTGGATGGATGCATTTACGTAAATGTTTTAGAAAGAATTGGATTACGTGAATTTAAATAATTTATTTGCTCCTAGAATAATTAAATAGCAACCAAAATATATAAAGTGTACGTGGAATAGCCTCCAAAATTTATAAAGTATAAATAAATGTTAATTATTATTGTACATGCATGTAAATAAATAATTAAATTATAATACGGCACATACATTCAATGTATAATATAATTATCAGTGTATGTGTGCATACATGCATTTATTTAAGTAAATGTATTCAATATATAATTATTATCATATGTGTGCATGCATGCATTTACATAAATGTTTTAGTAAGAATTGGATTACATGAATTTAAATAATTGAATAACTCCCAAAATATATAAAATGTACATGGAATAGCCTCCAAAATCTACAAAGTATAAATAAATGTTAATTATTATTATATATGCACATGAATAAATAATTGAATTGTAATATGGCACGTAGGTAGTAGGGCTGTAATGGTCTAAAAATTGATTCTCATTTCATGTGATATTTAGATATATTATAGATTCTCNCCCCCCCCCCCCCCCCCCCCCCCCCCCCCCCCCCCCCCCCCCCCCCCCCCCTCCCTCTCTCTCTCTCATGTTAAATTTATTGTTGTCAATTAAAAAAAGAAAGAAAGAATTCCGATCAAATAGATACGCTATTTATAATTAAACTTCAAATAATATAAGGTACTAATTTCTTCGTGATTTCACTTAATTTATTTATTAATTAACCAACTTCTAGGATGACTAATGAAATTGATGTGACCAAATTCAAATGAAAAATAATTGTAGGATGACTAAAAAAACCTAAAGAATTGATGAAAAACATTCACAAATATTGCCGTTGTTTGAACCCCATTTTTTTGGGTTAATAGATTTTGAAATAGTATTTTTTTGGGAAAATGTATGATTAAAAAGTCCTATGTCGCACTCGGAAACAGAAAACAGAACGTGATACTACACGTGGAAACACGGTTTTTGGAAAAAAAAAAAAAGTTGGTTAATATGTAATTTAAAAGCTCTTAAGGGGAATCACGTGGAAACTCGCGGAATTAGTCGAAAATGTCGGGAAAGCCTAAATTCAGGTTGTAAACGGTAAAATATTGACTCGAGCTTCGCGAATCAAGAACCTAAGGTATACTAAACCTTAGACATGCGATATACGAAAACAAGAACCTCGATTTGTAAATGCCACAATGAGTGCCTAATCCTTTGATAAGTTCTAAGATTTTGAACGCCACAAATATTGAAAATATTTGATAAGTTCAAAAGTTCAATCAAGAATCAATGGAGAGGAAAATCTTAATTATGATATTAATCACCAAAATAAGTTCAAAAGTTCTTAATTATGTGTACGTGACTTTGGTTACATAAATTGTGCACGCATGCATTTATTTAGGTAAATGTATCCAATATATAATTATCACTTTGGATGGATGCATTTACGTAAATGTTTTAGAAAGAATTGGATTACGTGATATTTAGTTATATTATAGAATTCCGATCCAATAGATACGCTATTTATAATTAAACTTCAAATAATATAAGGTACTAATTTCTTCGTGATTTCACTTGATTTATTTATTAATTAACCAACTTCTAGGATGACTAATGAAATTGATGTGACCAAATTCAATTGAAAAATAATTGTAGGATGACTAAAAAAACCTAAAGAATTAATTAAAAAAATATTCAAAGAACTTTTTGTAGAAGAGCTACCTTACATTTGTTTACTCTAAAAGTCTTTTATATCAAACACAAATTTGTCAAAACGTGTTCAAAAGCCAGATCGAGTCTTATAATTAACTTTTGACTTTTTAAAAGTCATTTTTTTTGGGTTAATAGATTTTGAAATAGTATTTTTTTGGGAAAATGTACGATTAAAAAGTCCTATGTCGCACTCGGAAACAGAAAACAGAACGTGATACTACACGTGGAAACACGGTTTTTGGAAAAAAAAAAGTTGGTTAATATGTAATTTAAAAGCTCTTAGTATTGATTCACACTCTAATCGGTTGACAATTTATTGAAATATAAGAATCAAAGCAGGTCTTATCAAAAAAAAAAAAGGATCAAAGCATGAAATTAAATAAATTTGAAGTTGAAGCACGTAATTAAGACAATTCTTAGTTGAAACACACGAAAGTCCATAAAAAAACGTTCAATCCATAATTCATGTTTTCAAACCTTTTTTTGTCAAAAGTTTCCAACAAGTTTCTGTAGAATTTCTTCACGATAAAAAATAAATAAATAAAAAATAAGCAACTAATTTTGGGTTTAAAAACTTTATTATCGAAAGAATAATGTTATATAACATTAATTGCGTTAGAGCACCAGTCTACACGACATGTAGATGGTAATATATGGTAAATATAATTAAAGTTGATATTATGAGATTCA